GACCAAAGGAAACAAGCCAAACTATAGTGGTTACAGGGTCCAAGCGAAATAAATAGGGATAATCTGAACAATGTAAGATGTGAAACCAGCAGGCATTTCAAGAATAAAAAGAGGGAATATCTGAAAGACAAAATTGATGAGCTTGCAACAGACAGTAAGATACAATAATAATAGTGAGCTGTAGTGAGGAATAAATGACTTCAAGAGTAGTTACCAACCTAGAAGTAACTTAGTGAAGTATAAGAATGGTGAATGTACATAGGGTCAGTGATGTCAGGCAGATAAAATGCATACAGCTGACCCAATGGGACCTGATCCTAGCCCTTTTTGACCTTGAAACTTCCATTGCAAATTTGAAAAGTTATAAATCGCCATGCAGTAATCAGATTCGGGCAGAACATATTAAAGCAGGAGGTGAAATATTACATTCTAAGATCCATAAGCTAATCAATTCTAATTGTAATTAGGAAAAATTGCCTGATCAGTGGAAGGAGTCTATTGTTGTACCAGTTCACAAGAAGGGTGATAAAACTGACTAGTAATTATCAGGAGATATCACTGCTATCAACTTCATACAAAATTTTATCCAATATTCTTCTCTCAAGGTTAAGGCCATATACAGATGAAATTATTGGGGAACATTAGCGTGGGTTGGATGTAACAGATCAACTACTCATCACATATTGGAAAAAAAATTGGAGTACAATGAGACAGTACATGAGCTATTCATTGACTTCTAGAAACCCTATGATTCAGTTGGGTGAGAAGTACTGTACAATATTCTCATAGAGTTTGGGGTACCCTTGAAACTAGTTAGGCTGACTAAAATGTGTTTAAACGAAACATATGGTAAAGTCCGTGTAGGTAAACACTTGTATGGTAAATTTCCATCCAGAATGGTCTAAAACAAGGAGATGCTGTATTGCCACTCCTTTTCAACTTTGCTTTAGAAGATGCCATTAGGAAGGTCCAGGGAAACCAGGTGGGACTGAAATTAAACGGAACACATCAGCTGTTGTTCTGTGCCGATGATGTGAAGCTACTGGGTGATAAAAGCGGCCTCCATAGTCTAGAGGTAACGTTCCCACCTCGTGACTCGTAGTACGCGGGTTCAAATACCTGGCGGAGGTCGTCGAATTTTTAAGGGCGGAAAAATTCAGGGAACAAGTCCTCCGGGAGGGACTTTAAGCGGTGGGTCCCGTGTTGTAGCTTTACGGCACGTAAAAGAACCTCATACCTCCAAAGGAGGTCACTGAGCCAAAATTGCGGACGTTTGCTGCCCAACAGCAGTCACTAATACCTCCGGTAGATGGGGGAAGCATTATAGATACTTCTCAGCCAGTAGAGCCGGTCTCGCTGGCTGGGCGGGACTGATGGTAAGCACCAATACCGGTAGGATATAGAGACTGGTAGAAATCATAGAGGGAAGCACAATGGACCACTACAGGTCTAAGTGAATGGGGAAACCCATCCTCTCTAATAACTAACTACTGGGTGATAATGTAGATACCATAAAGAAAAACACACACTTTAATTGACGCAAGTAAAGATGTTGGTCTAGAAGTAAACACAGAGAAAACTAAGTATATGTTGCTGTCTCATTAACAGAATGCAGGGCAAGATCGTACCATAAATAGAGGTAACAGATGCTTCGAAAATCTGATACAGTTCAGATATTTGGGAACAACAGTAACAAATCAAAATTTGATTCACAAGGAAATTAAGAGGAGACTGAATTCGGGTAATTCATTCAGTCCAGAGCCTTTTGTCTTCTCATCTACTGTGTAAAAACATAAAAATCAGAAGATACAAAACTATAATTGCCTGTGGTTCTGTATGGGTGTGAAACTTGGTCTCTGACATTAAGGGAGGAACATAGACTGAGGGTGTTTGAGAACGGTGCTGAGGAGAATATTTGGACCGAAGAGAGATGAAGTGACACGAGGTTGGAGGAAACTGCATAATGGGGAACTTCGTAACTTGTACTCTGCTCCAAGTATAATTAGAATGATCAGGTCAAGGAGAATGAGATGAGCAGAGCATGTAGCACGAATAGGGAAGAAGTGGAATGCACATAGGACATTGGTGGGAAAGTCAGATGGAAAGAGACCTCTAGGAAGACCAAGACATAAATGGGTGGACAATATTAAATTGGATCTTAGAGAAACAGAATGGGGGGTATGGACTGGATCAATCTGGCTAAAGATAGGGACAGTGGAGGGCTCCTGTGAACATGGTAATGAACCTTAGGGTTCTATAAAATCCTGGGAAGTTCTTGAGTAGCTATGCAATTGACTGCTCCTCAGGAAGGGCTGAGTTCCACGAGTGGAACTATAATATCTTTTTCACGATAGAAATAACAGATGACATGACCACCACATTTCAGTTTGGCATTCCAGTAAGAAAGTTTTCATCTGTGAGCTAGTCTAATTTTTGGTGTCTCCATCCATTATACAATCTGATCACTTTCAAACCTAAAAATATCATTTGTACTGGAAATAATATAATTGCAGTCATAAATTAAATGCAGATATTCTTTCTGGTCTATTTTTAGAACAGTTCCAAAATGCTGATATTGATCATTTGAGTGAGAAGCTACAGTTAAAATATTCAAACAGCCATATCAAGGAAATCAGTAACTCTGATGGGAAAAGATTACAATGTGGGAGGTTAAAAAGCAGATAAAAGTGAACACACTATACCAAACATGAATGGAGATCAAACAGTTTTATAAAATATATTTGATTAGTTTTTACAAATTAAATAATATATCACTAAACTGTTTGATTTAAACTACATCACTTTAAAGCAACATATCACTCCATTAGTTCTTTGAAATGGATCCTAAATACAGCAAAGTGAAATACTGCATTAATATTATAATGCTCATCTCTCTTGACGCTTTTCTTGGCGACTAGCAAAAACATACTTTTGTGCACTTAAGAGTTAACATTGGAGTTTGAGAGTGACTACAGAAAAAAAAAATCAGTTCCTTTAATTAACTGTACTTCCAACAAATATAATCACCTGCAATTTCTTCTTATTTGATCAATGGTAACACATAAGTTGTAGCATCACAGCCTCACTATTACAAAATCCTCTTAATATTACAGTGTCCTTCTGTATATATTTTAACAGAATACTTTAACCCAGTGCTCCAACCAAAAGTGTTCTAGTAACATGTTTTTTGTTTGACATACTTCAACTTGTAATTCTGAGAAGGTAACTGATTTTGTCTTCCAGCTTTAGACCTAATATGAATGACCTATGGACATTCCTTGTTTAGTGCCTTTACAAAGAGCTCATTAATATAGGAAATCTTCTATGAAGAGAGGGCAGCTTCTTTTAATGATGTTACTTGCATTGTGATAGGGACTATGTGACAACATGGTGGATATGTCTCTCTCAGTAAACAACCAAGTTCTTTGCTTCCATACAAACTTCTCTTTAAAGACTGATCATAGTGCTCAGTGTGACTAGCACCAGTGCAGAGAACTGACTGGTGAGTGATAATTCTACACTACTTACTAAATATTTCTTGCATCTAGTTCTCTGTAATGATTGTTTTTATGATATTAGCAGTTTTTGCCTACCCTCTCACATATCAGTGCACTTCCTCTTGCGCGTACCTAAGCAGTTTGAGTGTGAGCACTGTTTAAAGTACTTATAAGATCAGTGCTATCTTATGCCTCTGAGACCTGCTCACTGTCAAGATTGGATGAAAGACTGTTAAGTATATTGGAAAGGAGGATCATGAGATATATCTTTGGACCAGTGGAAGAAAATGGAATATGGAGGAAGAGGTATAACCATGAGCTATACAAACTATTTAATGAACCAGACATTATTGGATTCATAAAGGTCAAAAGGCTTGAATGGGCTGGACACATAATACGTGCCAGCGAGAATAGAACCATCAAGAAAATGCTTACTACTAAACCAGAAGGAAATAGGAGAGTGGGAAGACCAGGGTTAAGATGGGAAGAATGTGTGTGGCAGGACACAAGAATTTTGGATATAAAGAACTGGAGGTGGAGAAATGTAGCATCGAAGAGAGAAGAATGGCGAGCAATCCTGAGGAAGGCCAGGGCTCACAAAGGGCTGTTGTGCCAGTGATGATGATGATGTGAGCACTGTTCTTTATAAAGAGCTACAGTATCTTACTAACCCCAATAAAGCCACACAAAACTCTAACCTTGTCAAGCTATCACTATTTAGGGTTTCATATATTCTTAAGGTAAACTATTTTTTCACTTATGACTGTGTTTCTAAGGAACACATTAATCACATTAAAGACATGCTTAAAGCTCGATCTTATCAACTTAAAATTATAAAATATATTATAGATTGTGCACTCTTTTCTTTCAGTACAGTTGAATAATTGCAAATTCAAGAAAACGTCTGGTTCATGTGGCAGCAGCATAATGACAATGATGTAACGATGTTCCTGTGTATGTACTATTGCTAATTCTTTGCCTGTGTTAGCACACTATTTTCAGAACATGTGAGAACAGATGAAACAATGCAACCGAATAAAGTTCTAAACCTTATAAAATAAATTACCAAAATATCAATTTAGAAGTTATCTCATTTTTACATTTTACAAATGGATTGAGTTTCAGGATGCACAGATACTTGTCAATTTATATGTGTCTGTTTAGTATAAGATCATATACATTTGCATTTATGTGCCCTCTTGACATGATCTCAGGCAGCAAAATGTTGCTTAATATTGCAGGTAAAGAGATGTATAGTTAATGATTTTAATTACAATTGAATGTTTTCACATTTGAGACTTGATTATGGATGGAGGGAAATCAAGAGAGATATACACTGTTCATTCTATCAAATCCTATGCACTGATTTGGGAAGCTTCAAATAATTACAGTTAACCTGCAATTATTTTAAGACTCCGAGAAAAATTGCAGACCCATTTGGGTGACATGCTTTGCAGTACATTCCAATTCATGCATCAACAACATAAAAAAAACTCTCTCAAATCAGGAAATAATTCAATGCCATTATATCATGCTAAGACACACCAAAGACAGACAGATACACAATCCAACATGGAGTGAAACAGTCTCATTATTTTATTTACAATGAAAGTGATCCTTCTATGAGAATTATGAGGTTTAGGATGTGAAGCATCTTCAGATTCGGAATAATTTTCTGTGGAGTCATTCCTTCTTTAATTATGCTATGTTTTAATATCCATGTATGTACAGAGAACTGGATAAATTGCCACAATTATTACACAGTGTCTAAGAACGGTTTTTACCTAACAACAAATCCAGAACATGCCTGGGGCAGCACATATCAGTTATTGACACTTGGTTACAACAGTAGTATGGTGGTATAGTACTTCTTTTTTTCAAAATTATTCATTATATATAACATAAATTGTATGTAGTTTTTATTCATTAACTTCCAAAATACACTAAGTAATAATAAAACAATTTTGAAATGGAAGTGCTATCAGTTGTACAGTACTATAATACTGACAGAACAGAAACATCTTGTAGGATAAAAATATTTAAATACAAGGAACAAGGACCTGCACCTAGAAGATCAAGACCCACTTGTGAAAGATCTGAAGGGTAAAAAAACATTTCACTACCTCAGTGAAATAAATATTAGTCATACGCATTCATCTTTCACCTTTTTGTTCTTGAAGGTTTATTTATGTCTTTGTTTATATATAGATTTTCTAGGACTGTTCATCATATATGCCATATTTTCAAATGATCTGATATTATATTTCATGTTCACATCAGCTATTGATCACAGACTAAACATTCCTCACTGATTACTCACTTTTGTTTCCTGACGATTACTTTGTAAGAAAATATGGAATCAATGGTAAGCTTAGATGCCACCACTGACCAATTATCAGTGATTCCAGGTGCCTTTCTGTTTCAAGCCAATGCTGGGAAAATTACCATATGGCTTGAAACTAAGCCCTTGATTGTAAAAGCTGATAAATAAGTGCACCTTTCAATCTAAAACTTGTTCTGGTACAGTTGGACCAATGAGAAACCATTTCACTCCATGCAACTCACAAACACTTCAACAAAGCAAGTGCTTGTATGATACATTAGCATTGCTGTCATATTTATTTGTGAAGAGTGGCACATATTTGCCAAAAATATCAATAAAGAAAGTAATAAAACACATGAAGAGAGTCAAAGTAATGCACATGAATATGAAACTGTGCATCTAAAGATAGCTGATCAAAAAATTTATATATTTGTAAGTGGATTCATTCTTAACAATCTAGTCCTTATTTGAAGATAAAGAGGTCAAAAAGATTTACTGATGACATTATATTATGACCTGCTGTGTATAATTTTTTTAAGAACTCTCTACCCATGAGTAACAAGAAAAATTAACTGCTATACAATAGAAGCTGAATGTGACCATGGCTGAAATATCAGTATCAAACAAGGTTCCATCCTGTGACACTGTAGTTCCTCACAGACATATTTTCATAATTACAGTTCTACTCTAACTCCTTGTTATGCCATTTAAATCCAAAGCTCACAGAGTAGTTAATTTGAGTATTTTTATAAACCATGATTTGTAATATATTCTACATCAGACACAGCAAAGGGCTAATATAAAAATTAATTATAACGGTATATCACAATAAGATATAAACAAATTTTCAGAAGAATACAGTCCTTCTGTGATGTCATGTCATGTCATGTAGTTTGAACCAACATATCAGAGCAACCTGCCTCCTCCATCTCTTCCCTGGAAGATGGGGGCAGCACGTTCTTTGAAATATTCATATGATTTATGTGGCATCACGTCACAGAAGACATCATATCCCCTGCTGTAAGAACCTCTAATCTCACATAATTTCAGAACATAATATATCTTTCTTCCAATAAACCAAAGTTTAAATAAGCAGCAAAGAAAGTCTTCTGGCTTTTTTAGTGTTTGAAACAATTACTACAAATGTTTAACATAAACACTTGCAGTAATTTAATATATTATACATTACAGCATGCACTGATATGAAGGCCAAAAAAAGTTTATATGACTACAAACAAGTCTGAATAGAAGAATAGACAATTTTGGCTTACTAATGGATTCCACAAATCCATCAGAAAACCAAAAGCTACATGTTACTCAGCATTAAGATGCATTATTAATGTTATGAATGTAAATTTCTCAAACTCCTTTCCCTAAATGCAATTCAGTGATGCTTCAACACTATCAGAAGTAATGTCCAGAATTATTTTATTTGGCAGCAACTGTACATTGTAGTTATAAATTTCTATATTGTTTAGGTGCATTCCACCGAGTTAGATCATAAAACGACTATCAGCAGTAGTTCTCAAGCAAAAAATCTGTACTGGCTGCATCCATATACAAATAAATTTGCCATAGTTAAATCTGATGTTAAACATTTCATAGCAGTGGAACACATTCATAAGTGAAAAAAAAATGTAGCTTTGAGGATACATGTGTTACACTACTTGCATCATACTCAGAAAAAAATTCCAAGATAGGAACAAAATTACTGATTTCTCTGACATTTCTGCAATATATTATGATCGTCTGGATTTCAACACTACTCCTGTAGATTGATAAGACAGATATTGAAGTTTCAAAATCTTTAGGGTTGTAGGTATTTAATTCTGATGGTGAAGGCCGCATGTTCTTCAAAACACTGGTAGCCACCTACAAGACTACACACTGTCACAGCCTAGAGCAGTGGTTCTCAACCCCTGTGAGACTGTGGCCAGGTAAATTCTTTTTTCATAAGACAAATGCCCAGTATAATTGATTCCAGGGCCCGGTACTGGGCTGCAGCCCAGTGTTTGAGAAACTCTGGCCTAGAGGACCACCATCTGAACAGTCACTGCCATGAAAACTTCATCGCATATATTTTTGCATTACATACTAAAAACTGGTGGCTGCCCCTTCAAATCACTGTTCTAAAATAAAACAATACATATGATGGTATTGAAGATTACATCACCTTCGTAAGAAGAGAACAGGGGATATTTGAAAAACCATTAGTTGCACCTTGCACACTTCTCTCACTGAATTTGACGGCAGAACTGATTTTTATTTTATATTTTACACTTTGGTTCATAATAACAATTACAATACAACAAGGAAACCCTGTAAAACTATCAATAGTTTTACCAAATTCCTTTTTAACCTATGAATAACCTTGTATAAATAAGCAGCACCTGCAAAAAGAGGTTCATCGTTTCTATACAGCACTGTGATTCATCAAGGCATATTTATTCATGGGCTTCTGGGAAGGAGGGCAGCTATAAAATCAGAGAATTGTGGAATCGTTTTGAATACAGGTATGCAATCTCAACGAATTTTCCTCAGAGATGCAGCTGCTCAATGGAAATAAAATGATTTCAAAGTCATGATATATTAATGGCCAAAGTTCCCCCTTCTTCTCCAAAATACAGTGAGCTATTACAAAACCAGTATATAAACCATCATTAATCATTTCTGATTACAAGCAATTTTTTTTTATATATCCTAAATTTGTTACTCCAAATATTCCGATATGTTAAATGGAATAAAATTTGTTTACTCTTATACATGGGCCTTCAGAACTATATCTATTCTAAAGTAATGTTTTCACACACTGTTGCAGTTGAGAACAATGAACCTCACAAGTCCCTTTTTTATAAATGTCCCTACTGGAATGATTTGCCCAGATACCCACAACCTACTATAGGTCTTCTATCCAGTCAAAAATATGTGTCCAATTTACTCTCATTCAACAATAGAACTATAAAAATATTACTTCTGTGAGTCATGTGATGGTGCTATGTTTCACTGCATTGCAGTTTGTATTTGTTTTTGTGACTGGAGGGGTCTGCTTGAGACAAACCTACTGCACTGCTATCAGTTGCACTTCTTGCCATTAATTATTGGTGTTGATGAATGAGCCAGTACGTGATCTGATGTCTTGACATAAGCTTCTGACATCACGCATCGTGTTTTCTCCATCAGCATTTCAAGATCAAATTTTGTTAATCCAGCTGTTGGTATTGGTGGCAGAATGTTGATAATACTGTACCCTATTAATAAAAGATAATGACTTGTTACTATTATAAATTTAATATCATCTGGTATATGTGTAAACCACTTATATATGGTAAAATATGTGCCTTAGGTAAGAAATTCTGCAAAAGAACACAACTGCTGCTCACACACATTAGATTAAATGAAGAATTTTAATCAATCATATTTCAAAATAAATTCAAATTTAGTAGCACTAGATGATGCAAGCTTTATTGCCGACTTTTCAGGAACCTTAACGTCATCTTAATGCTGAAGTGAAAAATCCATTGGCTCCTGTGGGTGTTTATATGAATCAAATGGAGCAGTTCATACAAGCCTGTAATACACATATTAGGAGAGGACATAAGCAGTCACTTAGACAGTCTGTCTGAAAAGTCCACAGCAAATTCTTTCCAACATGGCTCATCATGCAGATCCATACTGCTTCAGTTTTTGACAATGGTGGAGGTTTTTCTGCATGTTATCCATGAAATCTGAACATGCTAACATGATGGATTTCTTCAGACTGCACTGAAAAGCCTTACAGACTCTAACAACCATATAGACTTGAAAGGATTCTGACGATGGTGTATACTGTACTTCTTTTGGCTTATTTTGGACTTCACCCATCGTCTGGTATGTAAAAGACAAAAGACCACAACGTTTCAGAGACTGGATCTGTCTCCATCTTCAGGTGGATAGGGAAGGATAAACCTACTCAGTTGGGCCCGTTAGAAAGAGCTAGTCTCAATCCAGTCTCTGAAACGTCATGGTCTTTTGTCTTTTACATACCAAATGATGGGGTGAAGTCCAAAAGAAGTCTAACAACCATGTTAGCATCTATGAAAGGGTCAAGAGTAGCTGAGCCCTTCTTGTATAAGACACTACCATCTTCTTAAACTATTAAGACCAGTACTTAAAGAACACTTCACAAAGTACTTGCCCTATATATTGCAGACAGTAATATCTCTGAACTTCGATCATGGATAACAACACCAAGCACACCACACACAGATTTCTGCTGCGGTAAAACCACTTTGCATTTCTAAGCCATCTTCATTCAATAGCATCACCATCGGCTGCACTGTAATTTTCCATTAGACTGTTTGTTCTTTCAGACATAGCAAATGTTAACTGATATCCGCTATACTTTACAATGAACTGATCTAAGTGCATGGGGAAACCCACCCCTTCTAATAATAATAATAATAATAATAATAATAATAATAATAATACTTTACAATGGCTGAAAGCCGGAATGGTGAAGCCGGAGCAGACATCCATTGCTAGACAATGGCTCAGTAATCATTTTTTCACAGCAACAAATTACACAAAGACAAGTTTCCATTACAGCAATTAGCTGTGAACCAGTTGTTGCCAGGTAGCAAGTCACTAACGAAGTCATTCCCATGACAACGCAAAAGCACAGAGGAAATGCTAGACATGGTGACTGGCAGCGTGACAGTTATAAAAGGCAGTGCATTCATGAAATCCAGTACTAGAGATCAGTTCCAAATTAGTGAGAGATTAGTCAGACATGTGTCGTTAAGAAGGAGTTCAATATGTTAGCTCTTATAATTGGTTACAATCATAACTGAAGTGTCAATAAATCCAATCATCTAATCCAGAACCGACTATTATTCATCACAACAACCCCTAACATGTGACAGTATGTGGTTAAGAAATTATGGCCATTCTGTATATTATTTTCCCTTAAATCTAGCATTTCATTCTTGCATTATGGAGAGATGAGTGGAGGTAACAATAAAAAAAACAACGAAAATAATTTGCATTTTCTTGATGAAGTTCACTATATATTATCTATTTATTGCAATAGCTTCCTTATTCGACTAAATTTCACCAGAAATAAATATTTTTTTCATCCCACACAGGCAGAGAGTGACTGTGGAGAGGTCTGCAACCCATAACTTCACCCTGGATTCAAATATAGCTCTTTCTGTATGTGGCTATAGTGTGACATGTTGCGCAATGGAGGACACCCCCTCCCTTCCTAGCGGTGGCGTGGCAGCTCTGGCCACAGTGACGTAGCAGGTGATTCAGTGCTCCCCCCCCCGCACTGTGACGTGGCACCACTTCCTACTGTGACATGGCACGCAACGCCACTGTTGACACAGGCAACAGCAAACGGAATAAAAGCTGGCTGAGCAGTAAGCAAGAGTTAGTGTGTGAGCCGGAGCAACACAGTTGGAGTATAGCAGCAGTCGCGGAAAGAAGAACCGGGCGTGTGATATTCAGGGATAGTTTGTGATAACTGAGAAGTAATTGGGAGTGTGTAACACAGTGACACTTATATAGCTCCCATACTGTGAATACGTGTAGACTACTGAGGATAGAGTGAATTGGTTATTGTGAAGGGTTGTAAATTGTGTAAACCTGTAACGGTGTTATAATTATTTGTAGTTACAACTTGTAGGTTGTTAAATAAACCAGTTAACAATCTGAACAGCGTGTTCAGAGAAAAAACATGTTACAATAGTATGCTTAAAATCCCAGTGTTCATATATGATGGGGAAAAAAATAAAATTCTGAATCCTAAGCAACATATGAGTACAGTTCATTTGTAAACATACCTGGGTTAAACAGCCTCTTTGTGTCATCAAGAAAATAATATCTTGATACTACTATGGGTTGAATTGGGGCCTGTGATGCGATAGCGACATGGAAAGCTCCCTTCTTGAAGGGCAAGAGTGCTGAACTGCTATTACGAGTTCCCTCAGGGTATAAACACAGACGAGCCTGAAAATGAATAAGTAACCAAAATACCAATACATTTCAAAACAAATATGCCTTTAGTTATGGCGGAACTGTTTTAAATGTATACATGGATGGAAAAGTTGGACACTTCTCTAGTACCTCTGCTTCCTGGATGCCCAATCTAGAAAAATCACCACAGAAATGATTACGCAGCACAGTGTCAGGGCATTCAATACAGTGAACACATTATGTTTATCCTAATGTGCTGACAAGCATCCAAGCAATATGTGTAGTCTTAAGATGGCATATCTCACCATTTATCAAATTGTTAGTTATTAGTAAAACCATCAACACAGATTTTACATTATTGCAGTATTTGTCGAAAATTTCTGGTATCATAATAAACTAAGTAACATTGGCATCCATTATTATCCACATGATACTTTAAACTCTCTGTACTGATTTGTAATGTCTAGGTCATTGGAAAGTGACTATGGAAGTGAACTGTGAAAGAGCCCACATATCTGCAATGTGGTTCTTATGATCCAGATTGGTCTAGTGATGATGACATCATTCCTCCATTACCTAATGCCATGAAATCATCCAGATCACATACAATTTAAGAACCAAAAAACATAGATGCCAGATGCATCAAATAAATTACAATTCATAACAAAATTATTTTATGGTAAAAAACTGCTATCATCAGACACTATGCATGTATTCACTTCATGGCCTTTTAATGGAAAAATATAGAAGCACCTCCATTTATGATTCGCAAAGTAAAGATGCATACAACATTAAAAAGGTAGCAGTGTTGGATTGATGGGCCTCCAGAAGACAAAAGATAAGGCAGAAATTGTCACAGGGATATCACAGGACATTCTAAGAGGATGCAGAAAACCTAGTATATAAGTTCCATCACACAGTGAAGCTCATCCACTATTAAGATGTCAACAATGAAGTACAAGAGCCACAGTAGTCCCTTGGATGGATGGATGGAAGGATGGATGAACTATGCATAAAGGTAACCGGTCCCAGCTCTCTTTTCACAGGAGTTGCCTGTAATGATTCAGGAGTAGCTGCATCATTAGCTGATGAAACACCACACAATTTTTCTTCTGCTGTTACTAATGATAGTATAATAAACAGAATGACAGATCAAATGAACATCCATGCCGCTCAGATGAGGCTACATGGGTCAGACATCACACCACATTCTCGACTATATTCATGTCAACCAACTACAAAGACAGGATGGAAAATTTGTAGGACTCCTTGCATGAATTGGCTTGGTACAATTCCTTACTGCAGCAAATTACTAGAGCAAAAGCATCTTGTATAAATACAAATTGTTTCCAAATTCTCTAAATAGGAATCAGTTCGTCTGTTTCAAATGTGGCACTTTTTTAATAATGTCCATCAAGTAACGTGTTGTAAAAGATTGAAGCACTAATTCATATGCATATATCAAAATATCAAGGAACTGTCAGCTCTGGAAGCCTTCTTGTATTGATGAGACAACCATGTCTTTTCTTGGGACGATTACTGATGAAAAAGTACATTCCTTTAATAGCACAAAAATATGGCATTAAGGTGTACAAACTTTGCACTGACAGGGGTTTCACATGGAATTTGAGCATATACAATGGCAAGAAGGCAGGTGCTTGAGCATCTGTCCCTACAAACGTGGTACTGAAACCCTACTTGGATGTGGAAGGACATTTACCAACAACTATTACACATCATCAATAAACTCCTTGATTGTAACACACATATTCTTGGCACACTGTGTGCAAACTGGAAGGGAAACTCACATGAAATTATCAGTGCAGCAGGGAAATTACATCACTGATGTGGCATGACAAAAGATATGTCACACTCCTCGCCACTAGCAACTCAAATGAAACTGTCCCAGTTAGTTGGCACAGTGAAACAGTAATCAAGCTATAAGTTATCACTGATTATAGTATTGGGAAATCTTCAATTTATCTGTTGGATCAGATGTCTAAATTATTCAACGAGCCTTCAACAGTCGGTCATACGGCATCACACTGTTAAGGGGCTGCTGAACCACAAGAATGTTGAAGACAAAACCAGTGGGAGAAGAATATGAAGTCTGAGTTCCTGTCCTTTCAAGACGATAGGAATATCCGGAAGAATGTATTATAAAATGTGTGACAAAAAGAGGAGGGAAGAAAGTTAGCAGTTACTGTGAAGGTTGTGTTGATCACCTGTAATACTGTTTGAACTCATCCAATACAGTTCATTACAAGTAGAGACACTGTTCCAAAGTACGAGTAAAGTAAATATTTTAAACACTGCATTAAAACTTATTTATGATTATCTCTTTCATATCAAGTAATTTAAAGTAACAGTACTGAATTCAAATAAATTTCTTGAAACTTTACTGTAAAATGGTAACACATATTCCAACAAAGGGGAGATTGAATTATTAAACTCTTGATTCAATATTCACATTCAGTATGTTGGTATTTGGATCAAGTCTATTTATGATAACTACATAATAAAGACATTCTTCTTATACTTCTGACATTTTTCTGAAACGTGAAACAAATCCCAACAGCGGGATATGTGATAATGCAACGCAGACGAACGTAGAAATGTACGAGGAGACAGTGGTGACCACTGTGACAGCATGGCAAGTGTGTATCTGCACACTGCACTGTCTACTGGTACAGCCAGTCTTACAGTAACTGCCCCCGCCCCACAAAGGGCCAGTAAACCTTTCATTCTAAGAGACTAAAGTATTTTATTTTTTCATGTGATTCAATTTGTGACTTAACTAAATTGCATCATGCAAATATTAAAAGAAAACTGTTCACGAAATTCAGTTTTATTCTCAGTCAACTGGAAATCTGACAAGACAACTTAAGCACTCACTTTGGGCACAGCAGATTACAGCAGAATTTTAACACTACGTGTTTAGAGTTGTAATAGTTATTTTGCTGTATCTGGAAATGGCGGATTCTTCACCCATAAGCTCTCACTCAGAGAAGAGTAACCTCCCATACTTCACCTATCCCAAATCCCATGAGCCTATAAAATCTGTGATATGGTATCTCCCAGTCTCAACTCCTGCAAAGAACACCTCAGATAGGTTGGTGAACCTTGTCTACCACCCGTCAATTACATGCAGAAGGAATAACCACAGTAAAAACTCCCTGTTCCTAATATCCTTACCTAGCGTGTCGAAGTCCCATGAGATATTCAAACTGACGAGCCTTTGACACAATGCAGTCAGGGCAGAGGCGTACAAAGCCCAGACTGGTCTCATGCAGTGTTACAACTGTCAAAAAAAACCATGTCTGGGCTAATTGCAAGCAAACTCCCCATTGCATGTGATGTGGGGGTGGTCACCTGCACAAGGAATGCCCGTAAAAGAGCAACACAGCATCGATACCGAAATTAGGCCACTGCAAGTTGGTGAACAATGAGGAAACTCCACCCCACCAACTACCAAGGCTCCAGGCATGCCAAGGAAGAGATTCAAGAAAGAAGTTGCAGAGAGCACCCGAGTCTACAATGGGAATGATGTTATCTTCTAGCCATACCACCCCAAGATAATCCTTCAGGGCGCTGCTACATAGCAACATAAGTAAGAGCAGCAGCCTCAGCCGTCCAGTTTCACAGGCCTATCTTGCCACTGTAGGAGAAATGAGTCCCCACCACCTTGAAGCACAACCAACAAGTACCAAGTCAGTCAGTTCAGACTCCTAACAAAGCAATCATCTCTGAAAGACATGTCCAAAGTAGTCGCAATGACATTTCTGTAAATCATGATGCTCTCAATGGGGCCGGGACAGAAGAAGACAGAATAATGACCATCACAAAAATTGTATTAAAAGTCATGAAGAACATGACCGATAAATTTCAAAGGCGATAAATATGACTGTGCTTGAGAGGGCCAGCAGCAATTGTAAATGACAGATCCGTTCTCTTGCCCGTGAGGGCGCTCCATATCAGCAAACTTTCAACTGTCAGACAGTAACAAAAATGTGGTTATGACCCCCAGACGGGTGCTTCACACCAAGATAGACAGGCTAACTGACCATCAGTCATAAAATAACTTTGACTTTGAATGCAGTCATTGGTCACAGTCGAGATTGTGAGTCTGCAAGCTGTCAGTACTAGCCAGTGGTGGCCACACACAGCTAGGAGCCAATGAGCATGGGCCACATTGGGAGCCACAGTTAATTTTATTTACGGTTTATAAGACTCCACTAAATCTGTTCACCAGTTCAAACTTTGTGTCTAGTTGCTTAACACATGACAATACAATAATTAGCAGAACTGTACCTTATTTTTACGTATGATATCTCCTGTGTTGTTGATAGTGCTCTGTGCCCGCTCCACATTCAATCTGTCAATGAAGATGGTCCCCCAGAGCCAGCAACCCAATCCAAATGGCCACAGATAGAAAACTTCCTTCTTGGAGATAACTGTACACCGCTCCATTACAGGCCATATCTCAGCCAAAACTGTACACAGAGATGTATATCAAAAGAAAGTTGATACAACACCCATATAACCAAATTATTCTACAAAGTAAATAATTCTAAAACACACACCAAATTTTCCAGTTGGTCAACATTCATTCTTCGTACAAAGTCTCACTATACACATTAAAAAAGTAAAGCTATCCCTGTAACAGGCCATGAAGGCCCATAGGGTTGTGAGACGTTGAGGTTCCCACATAATCGGCTCAAAGATGGCGGTAAGGTTGTCAGCCTTACCCGTCGGCCACGCTTTACTCCCCAGGAAAATTATTTATTTAATCCCTGGTACTCAAGAATTAAAAAAAAGAATGTTATTTAATTTTTCTGGAACATGAAATTGGCAGCACTGAAAAAACAACAGATATAAACATGAACTTCCCTCATTTTCAGCTAGCTGGTATTCATCGTATTTTGAATTGTAACAATATGGCAACATGTTGGTAATATCTACTCAATTAACATAATGCACCAAAGAAGGACAAAAACCTATGGTCTGATTTTGCAGAGTAAAAACTAGCAAAATTTATGGAAAAATGGCAGTTCAGTTTTGTGATCACTGTATGCATGTGATTAAACTCTAAATCAAGTGTATGAAAAGATTTCAATGACAGATAATATTTTGCTGATGACGTGTTTTGGGTAACCATTCCGTGCAGTATGTACTGATGGTAGGGAGAAGAATGACCAGCGTATCTATGGTAACCAAGGAGCTGAAGCGAACGAATAATTACCACTCATGTTAAGAAGCAGTGCAAGAATGTTCCAAGACCAACTGAAATTCCAATTTGAATACACCTGAGAATGCAAAATGGCTGTACATCCCGGAATTTGAAAAATTGACGTGAGCAAAACTTACATTCAGCTAGAAGAAAGCAGTCTTCTGAGATGTGGCGCTGTGTAGATATTGTGTTAACCGACGTTTCGGAGGAACATATCGCCTCCATCTTCGGGGTAGAAGAAAAAAGAAGAAAATCCGCAAGCGAAGAACCAGCGTGAGTAGGTGCAAATAGGCTTCGCTTGAGGATGTTCTCCTTTTTTCTTCTGCCCTAAATATGGAGGCGATACGTTCCTCTGAAACGTCGGTTGACACAATATCTACATGGCACCACATCTCAGAAGACTGCTTTCTTCATAGTCACCGCCGTGAAAACCTCAAATCTTACTTACATTTTGCGAGTTTAGTTTTCATTAGGTTAGTTAACAGTACAACTTTAGTTAGTGTTTTAGTATGTTAGATAAATTTAAAGGCGTGCGTGTCCGTGTGCGCGCGTGTGTGTACACTGTGTTTGGAGAATGGGCACCTATTAAGTTTCCTTTGCATATTTAAGATAACAGGTCTGCTGACAGTCAATTAAAATTCACAAAACATGTAACCTTATTATTTTTAGTTATTTTGCAACAGAAGTTGTATATATGGTTTTATATATGCTAGATACGTTTCATTTCCAATGGGCTAGGTGAGGCTGGTGCTTTAGTCAGGGTTTTATTACAGAAAAACAATATCTATATAAAAAGAAGACATGGTCTGACTATTAAAAATTCCTTTAATATTTTATTTATTCTGTGTGCGCATGCATGTGTGCAAATCTGAAGGGTTAGCAGCAGACTAATTGCTCAGACTTTTGGGAACAAGGCTCATTAAGAACAATACACCTCTTCAGAGATTTTACTCACAGCTCAATGTTATATGAAATGGCCATATAACTATCACAGACAAGTAAGGAATGAACCACAAACTCACCAAGTACATCCAAAGCACTCTGGTGATTCATAAGGACTACACATCCTGAATCCTGGACAATATTTTCATGTCCTGTAATCTCAAATTTAATGCCCAGGAATTTGGACAACTGCCGTGCACCCCAAGCTGGAAGGCTGCAACATATAACAGATATTAATACAATGCAATATAAAACAGACCTTTTATGAACAGCTTTACCGAAAATGATGCAAGTACTGGATGTCTACTTCTAGTGCTAAACGATACATTAGTATGTGAATGTGTTAAGCTGTATGATATCAAGGATTGAAAAGTTATGCCAAACTAGAAATAAGTAGGCCATCCCAAAACCTTCAACTGCAATAATTTAAAAATTTGATTGCTGAATCTATTAAATCCCAATTTTTTTTTCATCAAAAATAGAAGGATTTTACAACATGCATTTAAAAATCCCAATGGACTGTGAAAGTCATAACAATGTATAAATATTTATATTGCTGCTTCACATAAGGTACATAACACGAAATACAATGTGAGAATTGCCAAGAAAGGAAGTGACCATGGCCCATGTAATAGCATAATCTTAAGATTATTTTTATTTAACAACGCTGCCAGTAACTCGAACTACAGCGTTGAATAACCGGGTGATAGTGACAGTGTAGGACGTGGAAGGAAGCAGTCAACCGAATTTGTGGTATTCTCCTAGAATTTGCTTGGAAGAACTGGGGAAAACCATCAGTAAGGCTAGTCGGCAGTCCCGGCAGTAATTCGACTCAGGGACCTCCTAAATACTAGTCAGAAGCATTACTACTTGCGCCACCTTTTGTGGTCATTTGGTCATGTGGTCATATATACGTAAAGAGAATGAATGTAACCTTGAGGGATCATTGTGTAAGGTCGCTTATAAGACCGCTGAGAATATGGCACAAAAATCACTACCCATTGGAGTGCATTGTTTGGCTAGTTTATTGATGCATATAGAAACAAAATTTAATGGCCGTTTCCCGCTACAGCCACTGCTCAAAACATTAAACGATCTTAATTCTGTCACAAAGGGCGCCTTCGCAAAAACTGACGACCCTCTGCTTTGTAAAACAGTTTGCTCGAGTACTCCTCCTTGAGTAGCTGCAGATTTGGCTTCTCCTCAAGAAGGGCTCAACTCCATAAGTAAGTAAGTAGGCACAATCATACTATGATGACCTCAGTTTTAACCCCATGGATAATGACTTGCGCCATTCTGCATACAGCACTCGTCAAAATCTACAAACGAGAACTCACTAGGCATTCTTGTAGCTTCTTGGTCGCCACAGCATAAGGGGGATGAATATCGTAGCAGCGGTAAGGCACCAAACGGTGAACAATGTAAACTTAAAATAGTAGCGGAATACATTGCTCACACGGTAGAGGAACACAAGCAGTAAGATGGCAGCTGCAAACACCTCCGTTACTCCACCACCACTCAGCATTGCCATTGAAATCAACAATCCTCAAGTCTGCAACAGACAAACAGCTAGAATGAGCCAGTGTTCGGATAGTCTGTTAATCATGGGTATGTGAAATTATATTTGGTTATGAAGAAAGCAGTCTTCTGGGATTTGGCACCGTGTATATGTGGTGTTAACCGACGTTTCGGAGGAACGTATCGCCTCCATCTTCAGGGTAGAAGAAAAAGTATAAGAAATCTGCAAGCGACCTGCTTTTACCGTTCTCACGGTCTTGTCGCTTGCAGATTTCTTATACTTTTTCTTCTACCCTGAAGATGGAGGCGATACGTTCCTCCGAAACGTCGGTTAACACCACATATACACGGTGCCAAATCCCAGAAGACTGCTTTCTTCATAGTCACCGCCGTGAAAGCCTCAAATCTATATTTGGTTATAATCGCTAGTGCATAATTCGTGTGAAATATAATTATTAATGTAGCTATTGTCTGGACTGAAATGGCGCTTCGACTTGAGAACCTTCATTCTATTACAAATACGTTGAAGTTTCCGCCTATCCTCAATGAGAACCTGTATCAGATGAACACAACACTGACCAAGCAGGCTGGTGTAGCAGTAACGCTCTACACTTATTCTAAAACAGTAGAGTTTCGGAAATTTGGTCTGTTTTCGCCCTCAGGTGAGAGGGAGACTCCTACTCTGTTGGGTCCGTTAGAAAACTCAGGTGTCTTCCCCCTCTCTTTAGAATACCGGACGATGGGCGAAGTCTAAAAACTCAATAATTCCGAGTTATATTGGGAAGGTGATCCGCTCGACTTTCGGCCTCTCGACTGGTTATCATACCAGGGTTTTCTGTTTTCCACAATCCCACTAGGCCGGATGTGTTCTCAAATCCAATTCATTATCCACCAATCATCCTACCATTCGACATTATACCGTCTAAGATACCGGCAAAGTCTTAAAATAAACTTTAAAATACAAGGCTGGAAACAAATTAAGTAGGGAAGGGGGGGGTTGAACCGCACGCACCTAACTTTAAACGGGTATGGAATGTTATTTACTGAGGTTTTCCAATTTTACAACATTTGCCCACAAAGAAAATTTAACTGACGTTATCATGTACGAGCATAAGCAACAAAACCTCATCTCTAAAAGTTTCATTAGTCCGATGACTTTGGTAGCCAGTAAGGATCTATGGAAATGAAAATAAAGATACAAGATACATGCAGGGCGTACCATTACCACCTGTGTGATGCAATGGAACTCAAAATATTTTGGCTGAAGCAAACTACAGATTTCAAAAGTACACAGTATAAAGGCATAAAACTTATAATTTCGAAAGTACTGAAACCTATATATGTACCAGTAATTTAAATTTACTGCTGAGTAAGAAGGAATATATGTTACAAAACCTAAAAAAAACCAACAGAATATTGTCACGTGTATCAGTGACTAAAGACGGGGTTCGAATTGTGTAATTGTGTTTATTTAGCACGCGATAGCGTATTGGTTGAGGGGCAACGCTACAAGCCGGGAGGTCGCGGGTTCAAGTCTCGATGAGGTCAGTGGATTTTTTCAGTTGACCTAATCCTTCCAGCCGCACTATGGCCCTGGGGTTCACTCAGCCTCTAACAGAAATGAGTACCAGGAATTAATTAAATAATTTTCCTGGGGAGTAAAGAGCGGCCGGCGCATAAGGCTGACAACCTTACCGCCATCTTTGAGCCGATTGTCTAGATAGTGTGGGACCCTCAACGTCTCACAACCCTATGGGCCTTCACAGCCTGGTACAGGGATAGCTTTACTTTCATTTACTTCTTTTTTTACCACTTAAGAGGTTTAACTACAGAGCGTTCAATGATAGAGGAAACCTGGCAAACACCGCAGAGCGGACACGTTTCTCACAGATTGCTGCTGTAACTGCCGACAGTAGAATGAGTCATTAGCGTTGATAAACGCGCGCCGTCGGGTGACGTGATCTTGTCACTGCAGTAAGTCGCATTAATAGTCGGTCTTTGTTAGAGGTATCGATAGGTGAGTGACACTTATACTGAAATGAAGTTCACTACTGAACAGAGTGTGGTTGTAATGCAACTTACATTTAGCTGGTGTGCTGTCTTATCTTTGGTACTACGAGTATGTGTAGCTGTTCCGAGTGTTCAGTCCGTTTAGTGAGATGACACTCGGGTGGTATAAGTTTATGAGGAGAGGTAGACAGCTCGAGTCTTATCTTCGCTGATTTTAATGTTCCAGCGCTTGCACCACGTCTCAGTTGAACTGAGACAGCGCTGCAGCTTTCTGAGAACATACCTCTTTTTGTGATCTGTGGTATACATACAAGTATTATCGGCAAAGAGGGCGAGATAAAACCTTGGTGTTTGGGGGGGGGGTCATTTACATATTGTACAACGATGGGGACAAGGTGGAGCCTCGAGGCCCCTTGCTTGCATTTCTCTATGCGTGGGCATTTCGCCTCCGACAGAAAATGAATTTTCGCTCGGCTAGAAATGAGTTAATAAGCTTGATTAAATTTTTCGACACTTATGATTTATGTACCTTGTATAAGAAGCCATGATTCCACGTTGTACCAAAGGGGTTGTCGATATCCATGAATACCGCCGCCGTAGACATGTTACTGTTGAAATTTAAGGTCATGTGGTCCGTTAAGCCTCATTCGTTGTAGTGTCGTACTATGGCGTGCACAGAAACAAAACTGACTTGCCTTAAGCAGGTCTCTCACCTCAACATGCCTTTGGACTATTTTTGAAGACTTGCGAAAAGATTTCCCGTAGTGGACGAGAGGCTTATCGGGAGTAAAATCTGAGGAAATTTTGGGTCCTTGCGTTCTTCTATGACTTTGAAAACAAAACGCGAGAACCGAAAGCACTGGTTAAATAAATGTGTCAATTCTGTATTTCAGCATCCTGTAGGAAATCTTTAACCAAACGTCTTTGTATTCACAGCCCGTCAATAATGCAACAGTTGTTTTATTCACCATTTAACACTCAACACAACGTGTTTCGGCCATAGATGGCCATGTTCAGGTGTTTTAATGCGTCCACCTGTTACACTGTTCTGAAGTGCGCTAACATCGCGCGTTGCAGTCCACTTAAAATAACATAAATAATTATTTAAAATCCATTAAAATTTTTCGTTAAATCCTGTTCCACCTCACTCGTTTAGAGTTATATGTTTATTCAGAAAGTTTGTTTCTGCAGCTTGTTGTCCTGTTCATTGGCCCGTTGTTTTCCTACGTCTGCAATCTGCCTCTTGCTTGTGTGTTGTTCCCTCTCTTCACAGTGAAGACAGCACCAAACGCTGCTTCTCAACAGAGAACGCAGCTTCCAACAGTTCCTCTGTTGTTGCGTTCGCGGCGGTCACGTGATTCGGTTGCGATGGAAATGTGTCTAAGGAGCTACTGCCTAACAACGAACGTCTCTTCTGGCCCCACAGTTTTGGCTTTCAGCCCCCATGTCACAATATCGTGTTTCATAAAAATCGGAAGCCCAGGCAGGCGCACACACATCTCGCAAGTTCACTTCCTTAAAGGAAAGAAAATGTGCTGACACGCAAATAACACAGTTACAAAGAAGCTCGGAGAAACCGTGTTCCTATCTAATGCGCAGGGTTGTGTACTATCGTTTTTGTAGTTTTCATCCCCAAAAAACACTTAGTACCTGAAGGATAAAGAATACATATTTGACTTGGTTCATCCTGATCCGTCACACTAGCAATGGTATAAGAGATTGCTAAAGGCGTCCACTGTGACTGATAAATGTTGTTTTATAATCTTTCATCCTTTACAAGTTTCGGTCGGAGCAACCATCTTCAGAAGGACTTTATCAATACATGCAGAAACTATTATTGCAATGTCACTGGTCATTATCAATACATATAGTCACTACTATTACAATGTCATAAATATAAAATATTATCCTTATACAATTACTGCGATGTGCATGAATTTATTAATACATTTATAACTTATTATAATTAGTCTATTTACAAGTATGGTTTAAAATTTGTTGTTAAAATCTAGAGCCAGTTTGGTTGGTGATCTTTATACTGCCTCTCTTTAGGGGAAGTTGAGTGTCTACCTCCTCGTGGCTTCGTCGTGTGAAGAATTTGTGTTAGTGTTATATACTCAACAGCACATAGGGGCCCGAACAACCGGACAACACCAAAGAGTCCTGTTCTTCATATGACGGAACCACGAGGTGGCCGACACTCAACTTCCCTTAAAGAGAGGCAGTATAAAGGACATGGAGGCCGCGCCATAGCTCAAGCGGTTAGTCGCTGGCTTCCCACCGCAGCGGCCAGGGTTCGAGCCCGGGTCTCATCAAGTGGGATTTGTGGTGGACAAAGTGGAGCTGTGGCAGGTTTTCTCCGAGTACTTCGGTTTCCCCTGCCAATCTTCATTCATACACTGTAGCATATTTGCTCAAAGCAAACTGCAGAGCTCGAGAAACAGCGTCGCTAGAGAATGGCGCTGAAACAACATTCGTTCCCAAGCAACGGCTCAATAAACACGTTCCCGCTGCAATGGATACGCATGCAGCAATAGAGGTACTGTTGGAAACGGTGTTTTCTACTCGATACGTGGAAAGAGGTTATAAGGAGAAGTGGAGTAAGAGTTATAGGGGAGTCTGTGAAGAGGAGACTTAGTCGGTGCAGTTGAGAGACAGAGGCAACGATGTGAGTGCGGAAGCTGAAGAATCTCCACTGGTTGAAGCCGTTACCAGGGAACGGCTTGTGAAGACATAGGCTATAAAAGGTTTAGCGAGAGCTGTGGTGATTTCTCGATTGTGGAGATCAGCGGTGACACTGTAATTGCTTGTAGTTCCGGGTCGTGTGCATAAGTGGTCACTAAATCCAATATCCAATCCAAAACGTTACAATATATTTCTTGTAACTGACGTTACATTATCTTCCACCCGGTTGGTTAATGGGATTGATAGGTCACAGCTTTCCAATCTGATCGAGTTGTAGGCTAATATGTATTTATTTGTAATTTGTTATTTTATATAACGGGAAGATGAGAGGAACAAACT